TATAATTGCAAAAAAAAAACATCTTACACATTTTTAGAGACTATATATAGCATTCATAGAAAAAAAATTTTATACGTCAGAAAATTTTCTTAAGTCGAGTTTTCTTGGAAAACAAAACGGTAAGATAATTATCTAAAGCATTGAATCTTTTGCGGACATATTTTGTAAACATGTTTAAGACTCATTTTGAAGTCTCCAGCTCATTTCACTTATAGGTACTAAAAGAAATATTAATATAATTAAATATTTGTACTTTGAGTATTTCGTAAGCTCTTTATATCATAATTGCAGGAAACTCAATCTATTATAAATATATAAATATGAAAACACTCATTATGGTTTCTTTTATAAGATTAAAAAATTGTTAGTAGTTGTTTATGAATTTCTTCTAGATTAGATGAGTATGATGATATCTAAAGTTACAATTACATATTTCTTATTGATGATGACTTTGATTTATATTGTTCAAGCAAGTTTTACTGAAGTACCACGTATGTTTTTTTTCTTCTTTAATAAGAATTTTAATATTTTTCTGGAAGATATATTATTTTCTGCTATTTCTTTTAGCGCCACCAAAACGTCCGGAACGCTTTAACTCACGAGAAGAATTGAAAAGATATTTACAAAAAGTATTGAAAATTAAAGAAAATTTCATTTATTTTAAGAATTTTTATTTTGTTTTGTACAGGTCCACGAATATCATACGATTCTTGGTCGATGGCGTCTTCGACGTAATGATGATGATGATGAACATCAAGTTTCAACTACATCAAATGATGATATATTTCAATTTTTCGACATAAATCATGATCACCATATATCATATAATGAATTTCTTCAACGAATGATGTTTAACAAAGAAAATTAATTTTATTATTCCCATAGTGATTTGAATTATTTTTTTAAGTACTTTTACGTACTTTAACATATGCCATATGTTTTTGTTTTAAATGCCTGATGGATTTAGTTTTTTTGCAAGATCATCAATAAATATAATAATATACGTATTTATGTATGTTATTTAATTAAATATATATTCTTTTATTTTATTTGAATTTCGCGGAAAAATTTCAGAAGGAATATGAAGATTTTTAATCATAGTAATATAATTCATAATAAACTTGATGTCAACTTGTGAACATTGTTTGCTTTGAACTTCAAAGGATTATTTAATTATCATGAATATGTGAAAGAAAAAATGTGTTCTTTTTCTTCTAGTTGAGTTTTATTATCAAAGATACATATTTCTTTAAATCTTAAATTTTTATTGCATACAATTTGGAAAAAAAAGAGTATTAATCATTTGTTTTTATTGTAAGATTGAGTCATTGCTAATTATTAATTTGATTGTCGATATTAATGTTAGAAGTCAACAAAATCAAGTTTATTAATAGAGACTGTCTATACATGTCGTGTTTTTCTTAATTAAAATATTTGCTTTCGGAATATTTTTCTTTTATAATTATGTGTCATTATTGAATGTTAAAAATAACAAATAAAGATGAGATGTACTTAAAAGGAATTTTCTACATACATACATACGTTATTGAGGATAAAGCATGTCTGAGTATTATACAAAATCTAACTAAATATATATATATTTAGCATACGTATTCAATATTAGCAGACACAAAAAAAATATATATACATAAATCATGACTTTAATGTGTCTTCTGTTATTGTGTCCATATTGAACTCTTTCATGATAGATTAAAAATTTTCTAACAAATTTGTGAAAAGAAAAAAATTGTTATATATAACTTGGATTACAATTTCGAAGTTATAGAAATTAGAAGATGAAAATTTTATTGATTCTAATTTTGGTAGTGAGATAACCACGAGATAGCAGGTGAAAGGAAAGTGCTATACAGCCTTGAAGGTAATTCATGTAATATAGTGTCAATGATAATAGCTATTACGTTTTTCTTTGTTTTGGTCGTAGAGCGATGTTTGGTTTATCCCACGCTTGGTTATTTCACTAATTTTTTGAGATCGTCGCAATCAATAGTAAAAAGAAAACATAAATCAATTCTAAAATTTTCTTAAATTCATAATGTAGAGTATATTTACTTAAATATAATGTGTATGTATGTTAAGGTACGAAATTCGTTGCATAAATACAAATTACATATTTTTTCTATCTAGAAAATCTTTCTATTTAATATCACCATTTTACTCTTTGTTCTGTTTAAACTATTTATAACCGACAATGTTTTTTTTACATGCATTTAATCGCAGTAGTTTTATCTGCGCAAATTGTCGACGACATTTGTACTTGACTTTTTTTACTAGGAAGTTAAGGGTTAGTTGTCTGAGGTTTATTAGAAAATAAATTCTTTACATTACAGTCAATCTTACTCGTTCTTCTATGCCAAATCATTTAAGATTATAAGACTTTTAGGAAAAAAAACGGAAGAAAAGTTCAACTGAAAATAGTCCTAAAAAGACGGTCTCGTTAAGATCTGTTGACTTTTTATTTTCTGTACAATTCAAAGTTCATAGTGAATAGATCCTATTCTGCATTATTAACTAATTAAAATGTACTTGATGAAGTCGAAAGACTTTTTTTCTCTAAATTATTTCAATTTAGAATTCTATTGACATTATTATTAAAATATAATGAATTTTTAGTGATGAAGTTTTTGTTTTTCATTGTATTCGAATTGAAAGATTATTGTTTGAAATAAATGTACGGATAATCTAAACTCACAGAAAAATGATTAGTTCAATATTTAGTTCAATATATGATTTGATCGATATATCAAACAAGAGAATAAACATATCGATTATCTCGATTGATCAATACATCATTGATTGATTGATAACTTTGGTTTGTCTGAATCATCGATTATAAGTTGCCGAGATTCTTATGTGAACAAGTCAAATTTCATATCATTCAAGTAAATATTAGATAGATCTTTATTACTATTCTTATGAAATATGGTTAATAGAATTTTTTTTTTTTGGATTTGTTATCTGACACTGATGACGACAAGTGTATTCTAACATATTGGTCATATGATTGAGTTTAACATAAGCTGTTTGTATAGTATTCTGATGAGTATAGAAGACCGATGTAATATTTACCTAGGAATACATAAAAAAAAATATAACAGGCAATGAAAACTATAATTTAAATATGACTTTGAAATGATAAATAATTCTTCAGAAAGAAAAAAAGAACAAACTATTTCTTCTATCATCTATATTGATCTACTTTCATAAATTAGTGAATGAAATTCAATCATATATCAATGTCGAAAACAAATCTACAATCGCTATATATTCAAGTTTGTTTAAAATCATCATAATTAATATTTCTTTGTCTGATAACATGATTTGTTAAACGAGTGTTTGTTCTTCTTTTTTTTTGTATAAACATTCCGTATATTTGTTCTTCAAGAAATATGTCATTGACAATTCTATTGACATTTATCCGTAATAAGATTTTATTGAATTCAAGGTGTCATACAAGGTTAATGTCTAACATGGCTATCATTGATTTCGATATCGAAAGAATCAATGAAATTTATGGCATCATTTTACGTCTATTTATTTATTTACTTTATTAGTAAAATATTTGTAATAAAATGTTCGGTATATCATGACAAATATGGGTGCATGTACCCGCCATAGGTTACGAAGATTTTTATTTTTCCAGAAAAAAATCATTCTTTTTAATGATAAAAAATTTTATATTCACTTACTTTTAAAGAATTATAAATATATCTTTTAACCTATTAAGAAAATTTTTTTCCCGAACTTCGCCTGATTTTGTTTTCTTCACTATATCCTTAAAAGAAAATCAATAATAACAAAAAAATTTATCTTTATATTTTTGTTTACACAATTACATGTTTAAAATATAGTATTCTATTGATGTCTGATGTACCTATCTACTATTTATATTTCAAGCCAAGGTCGTACTGTGAATTGTTCTTTGATCAATATTTGATTGATGTTATAATCAGGCGAATTTTGTATAGTGCATTTTCATGATTAATTAGACTGATTTTTATGTAAGATTTCATTTATATAATGAAAACTCTATGAACTATTGGCAACAAAAATAACGTTTAGAACTCATCATAAATTCTTTTTATCTTTATCATATTAAATTAGATCATTTAAATAAGAAAAAAAAAACAAAAAAACTCAGTAAACGGTTGCGTAATTCTTAATAGATATCTTTAAACATTCAAAGACAAAATAATAAGATCAATAAGTTAATGACAGATATTATTATCATTATTATTATCGTTAAATACTTATATTTATTGTATATTAATTCATTTATATATTGTATTCTGCGTTTGTTAAATAACTTAATGTCATAATCATTATATGTTTGAAAATAGTTTGTCATATTGACATTTGTTCTCTCGTTTTCTGTTATTACCATTGCTCATTAAAGAGAACATATACAACAAGAAAACTAATCATTATTTCGAGGTCAAAGCAGATGCAATTGTCATTCAAATCTAAACTATCTAACAGTAATATTTATATATAAACCGCATGTTCATTTTTTTTTTATTATTATTGTTATCATCATTATTGAATCTAAATTGAACATAGATTAAATCTTTTCTTTTCTTTTTTTCTATGAGAAAGTAATATTTCAAAATGATTGAAATGTTTTTAATAAGTTTTTTTTGTTTCTTATAAATTAATTCAAACCTTATGAAAACAATAAGAGTCATCTGATGATTAGTCGTCTATTCATCTTATGGACAATGTGTATCGTTCATATATGTCTACACGCAATGTCCAGGAGATATAGTTGTACTCTTTATTATTATTATTGTTAAGAAATTTCCTGTATTTAAGCTTCGTCTATCATAATCATGATCATTCTCATTAGTTAAATCTAACGTATATCTTGTACGGATAATTATAAATATATAAACAAAAAGTCAAAGAGAAACAAATCTAATCAATCGGTTTTTTTTCTCTTGTGCTCTCTTTTGTCCTTGATACTATAGTACGTGAATGTCTCATGATAGTAACAATGTTGTTATTATCGCTTTGCATGTCGCTCAAGAGATATTGTCGACGATAGTAATGATTGTTTCTCCTGAAAACTCTATTGAGATCTAGATGAAGAAGGAGAAACTTATGTAAAATTACACACGCGGAACCCGACGAGTCTCTTGAGATAGAAAGAAAAAGATTGATGAAAAAAAGAAAAAAGTTCTTTTTCGATTTTCAATTGAACCATGACCATGTCTGAAAATAATGTTGATAACAACAGATTACATCATCATCATCAAGATCGATTGTACTTGAGAGATAGAGAAAAGAAGTAGAGGAGAGAAAGAAGAAGAAGAAGAAGAATTGTAATATTCTTTTTTTTTCTCATTTTCGCACTTCTATTCTAATTGAACATACATACGACTCACTCGTGTCATAACTATCAACAAGCAAATTGAGATGAAGAACAAATAAGATTGACATAAACAACAATTGTGAAATCTTATCTTCATCGTCTTTTCTAATAACAACAACATCATCATCATCATCATCATCATCATCAGCTCCAGGGTTTATATATACTGTGAGTAGGAATAGAACATGTTGATTTGTTAATATAAACATGAATAGAATGTTGGCTGATGTCATTTTGCTCGATTTCATCGTTTCTTCTTCTTCTTTTTTATTTTTATGGTTGTAACAGCAGTGTTCAGCTGTTGTCATTTTTTATTGTTTGTTATGTATAATGAATATATATGAGACTGAGACATACCAATTTAAACATTGAAGAGTATATTCTATGCAACAAGAAAAAAGAATTGTTTTTTTTTGTTCAAGAGCAAACACATAAGATGTTCATTGATGAAATCGATTTATGATGACAACATACATCGT